AGTGTTCGGGCATGTAGGCACACGTGTCCGAAGCCCAACACGCGAATTCCGTTTTTCGGAATTCGACGCGACACCCCCGTTTTTGCGTTTAACGTGATCTAACGGGGGTCGGGGGCCTGTTAAACGGATGAACGCGCGTTCAATTTTTCGCGTTCTCCGTTCAGAAGATACACAGCATATTGTCTGCGGACGACAACGGAAAAGAAACAAAACGCCAGTGAGCGTCAAATCGCAGTCAAAGTACAACGCAGCCGAAAAACACAGGAGGCATACCTTGCCCTCAACACGTCGGTCACATGACGCCATCCGAGGACCTCGAAGTTCGGATCCCAGCGAACTTCGAACGCGAAGACCAGCAATGACCTCTGACCTAAAACGAGATCATTCTTTGCAAGGGCACACGCTTCACGCAGCTGGGCGACAACCACGTCGGTGTTTTCGGAACACGGATGTCGACCGGATGGGGAATGGACGGGAGGTGACGCACAAAGCTCGCGTTGGACGGGGTAGTGTCCTCCGTTTAGCACTCGAAACCCGGACAGTTCAGGACGCGAAGTTCGCCGAGATCCGCACTAAAAGATGGGGCGCAAGACAGAGAGAGAGAACCAGCCCACGCAGCCAATGTTCCAGAACCGTGCTCGAGCGAACACACTCCGCAACAGCATTTGATCGGAACCAGAAATCGGAGACGGGTTATCCACCTCGCCGGGCGGGTTGTGTGAGCCCCAGGACGTGCCTGTCCAAAGACAAACCAACACACCCACTGAAACGTGAAGTTCGCCAGGATCCGAACTTTAGGACGATGCGACAGGCAGAGACGGCGTCAGAGACACAGAGTCCGTGGTCACAAAAGGCTGGTTGAGAAGGACAAGTTCGCCGAAATCCGAACTTCTTCTGATATGCGCAGCTTAGCGTTGGATGAAGCCGAACGCAGCAGCCGCGACAACATTGCATGAGTCCCTCGAGTGGTAGTTGTGGATCAGGGTATACTCGTGTCGCAATCCACAGGGGATAATGAAGACCAGCGCCTGTTCAATACACAGGCGTCACAGGAAGTTCGCGAGGATCCGAACCTCAGGAGGTTGCGAGAGAGACAGACAGAAAGTTGGGGTCCTAGCAAGGTGTCCTAGCAAGGTGTGTCGGGTCTTTCCCGCGGCCCGCCCGATGCAAATGACACCAGAGACAAATTACGGCAGAAGGCGAAGTTCGCCGAGATCCGAACTTCGCCAGGGCACGACATGGAAGGAGACGGCGTCAGAGACGGACGTCCAACATGACTTTTGTCAGTCACTGAACTGAACGACGACCAGGGATTTGCACGACAAGCGCGCGGTGCAACGTGTACCAGCAACCACAGAGTCTCACACTTTTCTGCAGTCCTACAAATCTGAAATTTTAGGCAGCACAACCGCATCTCGTCCCTCGCCGTTCTTGTCCCTCAAACAGAAGGACTAATGACCGGTTCGGATGCGGCGACATTTGGGGATCCCCCGGGACGACGTTGCAAACCGAATCCATACAAAGCACTTAGTGACGATCCGTATACGCGGGTCTGCGGTTCGTCGACCGATGCACTCTCCGAAAAAGCGGACATGTATTTCATCCTAACAAACACCCCCGGTCGCGCCAACGAGTTTCCTATGTAGTCCCGTAGGTCAGCTGCTTTCTCCTCAACCTCATGCCACAACGAATAGTTTCGAACCTGACCTGCTATCACCAAATCTGGCCACCCATCCACACGTTCAGGCCCACACATCGGCACGAATTTGGACCCTTCAATCACGACCTCGTTGCGCGACACGAGCACAACTGCATCGACGAGTCTCCTGCTTTTGTTCGAAGCAGCGACATACAAAACTCTGGCGAAATCAGATCCGGACACAATCAACCGCACACAGCAGTACGACACAGCTCGTGGAGAAATCCCGGGGCCACGGAGCGGGTACTGGTCCAGGAACGAGCAGCGACTAGCGCAGTCCACCAACTCTTGTTTCCGTGAGCCCCCCCAAGTTTGTGGCGACGACCTGACATGTGGCACTCGAGGCGACTGAAATAGTGGCTAATGCAGCCTAGTGTTTTGCGCATATGGTTCATGAACTTATGTCCGAGGACGGCGTCAGGCAGTGGGATGAGGTCCCCGAACTCCAACATATTCGCGAACTTGTAATGGCTTGCCCAAGGGCAATGACTCTCCATATTGTCCCAATTGCCCTCGCCCTAGTTGTCAAGATGCGCATCCATTCACGGGACGACGGTCATCCATAGGTCCTCGTCGAAGTCCTCTGCGGTCGCTCCGTGGATCTTTGTCACACCGTTGAAATGGCGCACGGATTTCGCACAAGGACGAAAAGGTTCTACTTAGTGAATGTGCGTCTCGGCACTCATGGCCTGTGGTGTCGAGAAGATCGACTTGAAGACCCGTGGTGTTGAGAAGGTCCCCTCCATCACGCAACCTGCACACCACGCGCACATGCACGGCAACACACACGGGCACGGAGACAATCGTAAACGTGTCATGTCTCGCGATGTGCGACCCATGGCATTAGACGGAGCGTATGTCCAAAGATCCGATTTCGAGTGGACGGCTTCGTCGGTGTTCACATCTACCGGCCCGCAGGCCAGCCGCAAACACGCCCCACGACATGTTCGCCTGGAACCGAACTTGGCGAGACTGCGCGAGAAAGACGAAGCTGTCTCCCAAACTCGACGTCCCAAACTGCCACGAAGTTCGGATCCAGGCGGACTTCACTTTCGTACGAATAAAAAGTTGTGGCAATCCACAGGTCGCCAGAAAGCCCACAGTCAGAACCCGCACCACCCGAAAGGTGAAGTACGCCGGGGTCCGAACCCGACGGTTTTCCGACGAACCGTGCAGGAGAAGTTCGGATCTCAGTGGACTTCGCATTTTATAGAATCCGAAGTCCACCGGGATCCGAAATTGACGACTGTCTGAGGAACCGTGCACAACAGGTTCGGATCCACGGCCCAGCAGGAACATCTCCTGCCACATGCATTGCGAAAGGAAGAGAGCCCAAATTCGGCGGGATCCAAACTTGGCGAGATTGCGCGGGAGATGCACAGCAAGCAAACCCGACGATGGGACGAGGAACCTTAACTCGAGAAGTACGGATCCCGGCGGACTTCGCATTTTTCGAGACAAAAGTTCTCGCAAACACCCGTTCGCGAGAAAGGACACAGTTAGAACCCACGCCATGTGCGACGCAAAGTTCGCCGGGGTCCAAACTTGCCACGCGAGGTCCGTATCCACGGGAGGGTTTGGGCGTGGGTTTGGCATGGGTTTAGTGCGGGAAACCGGGCACGCAAGATCCGGATCCACGGGAGGGCAGAGGGGAACCTGGTGTTCGCCGGGATCCGAACTTGGCGAAATTACGTGGGAGATACACACCTGTCTGCCAAACTCGCCGTCCTGCAATTTCTTGAAGTTCGGATCCCGGCGGACTTCAAATTTTTCCACGTCCCAGGCTGTGGTTGCGAAGCGTGTTCGAGCAACTTCATGAAGTTCGTCGGGATCCGGACTTGGCGAAATTGCGCGGGAGATATACACCTGTCTGCCAAACTCGCCGTCCAGCAATTTCTTGAAGTTCGGATCCCGGCGGACTTCAAATTTTTACACGTCCAAGGCTGTGGTTGCGGACCCGGGTTGCGAAGCGTGTTCGAACAGCTGCATGAAGTTCGTCGGGATCCGAACTTGGCGAAATTACATGGGAGATACACACCTCTCTGCCAAACTCGCCGTCCTGCAATTTCTTGAAGTTCGGATCCCGGAGGACTTTACATTTTTCCACGTCCCAGGCTGTGGTTGAGGACCGGGGTTGCGAAGCGTGTTCGAGCAGCTGCATGAAGTTCGCCGGGATCCGGACTTGGCAGAATTGCGTGGGAGACATACACCTGTCTGCCAAACTTGTCGTCCAGCAATTTCTTGAAGTTCGGATCCTGGCGGACTTCAAATTTTCACACGTTCGAGGGTGTGGTTGCGGACCGGGGTTGCGAAGCGTGTTCGAATGGCTGCATGAAGTTCGCCGGGATCCGAACTTGGTGAAATTGCGTGGGAGATACACACCTGTTTGCCAAACTTGTCGTCCAACAATTTCTTGAAGTTCGGATCCCGACGAACTTCATATTTTTCCACGTCCCTGGCTGTGGTTGCGTACCAAGGTTGGGAAGCGTGTTCGAACAGCTCCACAAGCTAGCCGAGATCCCAACTTCTTTCGGTGTTTGAATGCGCGATCAGTTCGGTTGGTATGGCCCAGGTTGTGCTGGCAGATTGGAACGACCACATTCCAACCACGAGAACAGTGTCGGCGACGCGTGGGGTGGTGGGTGCTCAACGTTCACCGTTCAGTGACCGTCAAGTGTCGACGACCCTACGTCCTCCAAAGTTCGACGCCCGCTGAGGTTTGATTTGTAGCCATGGTTCGATGTTATACGAGGTTCGATGTGTGACAAGATTGTGACGAAGTGCTTTCTATTCGTTCGCCGATTAGGATCGACGTTTTTCCGATCGGTTGTGTGTTTCGTTTGCCGGTTTCGATCGTGCACACGATCATTTGCCTTGAGGATTCTCCGCAATCGTTCTCCACGATCAATGTGCACAGAACAGTCGATTGGTCATGAAATCTGCCAGGATCAACTGATTGATCGGCTGCTCGGTTGGCGGTTGGTGTGGTGGTTGATCAACCAGTAGAGCAATCGGCTGCTCGGTTGGCGGTTGGTGTGGTGGTTGATCAACCAGTAGAGCAATCGCCAATAGAGTGGTCGACCAGTCAATTCATCCTGGAAGATTTCCTAACGGATTTCGGTCGAGGACTGTCAGGTGGATAAATAAACCTGCGGGTTGATCTTCGGTGCAGCACACACGATCAATCATCCGCTCGCCGGTGGGTTGATCTTCGGTGCAGCACACACGATCAATCATCCGATCGCAAATAATCTTCTGTCATTCTGTGATTTGTGGGATGGATGCATTGTCGCCTCGTGCATTGGTTAATCATCGGTCGGGCAGATCAGCGGCGATGTTGTTGGGGAGGCAAACAACATCTATCACCCGATCGCGAGTGGTAGGCTTGTGTTTCGTGATGGGTCGGTTCATCACGTGTGTGGTGTATATATTGTCATGGATCTGAGAGACCATCCGATCACGAGTGATCTCAACACAAACGACAGAAAGAACAACACACACGTGGTGGTGACGTCGACGCGGCAGACACGATCAATCATCCGATCGCGAGTGATCTCATCGTGTTTCGCGAATAGTCGATGGATGCGTTCGCTTTGTCGACATTGCCACCGCGTGTTTCCATTGATCATCCATTGGGCAGATCGACGTACATGACATTGGGACAACACACAAAATCAATCGGGTATGGCAAGTGCTCACGATGAGGTTGTGTTTCGTTATTGGTCGCCACGTGTTTGATCCAAGCTTCCGTGCTTCGCCACTTGAGTACAGCATGCGCGCAATCGTTTTTTGATACTTTCCTCACACATCCACACACATGCGACGTTCGTTCCCGATTGCAGCAGAAGCGGAATCGAAGTGCAAACCATGTCGTTCATCCCTGACCACGCACTTTCGCGTGCATCTCCCCGCGAAAAATGTGCGCGAACACACACGTACGCGAGCAAATATGCACAGACAGGCACACACAC